CTCGTGGCGCTTTACTACTACTACTACTACTACTACTACTACTACTGCTACTACTACTACTACTACTACTACTACTACTACTACTGCTACAGCTACTGCTACAGCTACTGCCACTTCTACTTCTACTTCTACTCCTACTTCTTCTATTACTGCTACTAACCATTGCCTTTCCTAGTCTTTTAACTACGACTACGATTCAGATTACGATTACCATTACTTGTATTACTAGTACTGTTTCATTCCCATTAACATTCTTCATAGGTAGTAGTGGAAGGACGAGGACAAGGAGGAGGAGGGGGAGATGCAGGGCAGGAGAGGAGTGGAGGAGGAGCAACCTTACTAGTCTTGATGGTGTCATTATCAATGCAGTTACTACTATTCTAGTCATATCTTAAAGGATTCCTGATGAAAGGGGTTCCTTGAGTGCAGACACACGCGAACCGTAAGTTCCGACAATCGCTACAAAGACACTCAAAGCCTAAACACCAACACCCCTAATACCCTTACGGCGACAAGAGTTGTCCCCAGAAGCCCAAATAAACCCTAACCCGCAGGCGAAACGTTGTGGAAGTCGGGCCCCCCGGCCGATGCAGAAGGCTCCCAACAGGCAGCTGCATACCTCGGGAGCGATTCGAGCGTGGCCTGGTGCAGCCCCCAGCATCCGACGCCAGAGCCGGAACAATCAGGTTTTGAGGATTCAAGGTTTGGTATAGGATTTTCTGAGTTGTGTGCAGCGAGATGCAACGCTCTGCATCAGAAGCCATCCTAAGCATCCACGTCGCTCTCCAGGTCTTTATTGCCTTCGACACCGAAGCCCACCAGAAACTGCACGAATTCCCGGTGGTAAAGTCAGGGGTTCTATGGGGTTCTATTCTACACCTCCGACGGCCCCATAGTCCACGTCTTCCCCCACAGCACTACCCCGGAAGTCTAAGCACCCTCCGGGCTCCAGGCTGGGTGAGGCGGAGAGCGGCACACGTGACAGTGGCCGAAAAGAGCTGATCCGTCTGGGCCCCTTCGACGGTGTTGGTGTTCAGGGACCAGGCTTCGACGGCTTCGAGAACTCTTGGTATGTTTTGGGAACGGGGCTTTTCTGTGACCTGCCTTGGAGGCCTCTTGCCTTGCCTTGCGGAACCACGAAACGCAGGAAGTGCAGAAGAAGCCGAACAACTCCAGAAATTGATGCTTGGAGAGTTTGGGAGCTGGCAAATCTCCGACAAGAAACGTTCTCAGAACTTTCTGCATTTTTGTCGCAAATGAAACCCTAAACCCCCAATTCGCGAACCCTGGTTCCAAGCAAGGTATGAAACCCGAAACTCGGTGGAACCGCCTCTGAGTTCACGCGCGGCATCTGATTGCGCTGGGGCCTCACTTTGAAGAGTTTAGGGCTGAGGGTCTGACGGCTTCAGGGAGGATTGAAGGCTTGAAGGCTTTAAGATTGCTTTACGGCCTCAGGCAAAAATTAGAACTTTATTGAGAGACTGAGTGCAGGTTGCAAGGTTCCAATCTGCCAGGGCCGAGACAAAGCTGTAAACGCCTGATTGAAAAACAAGTATTCCTCGATTGTCCTTGATAATAGGATCCCCATTGGTGCCCGCTTTTAAGGGAGGGGATTTAAATCAGGATTCTGCATTGCTACACTCAATATCAGGAAAGACTCCATGTGAGTTAAGCATGCGGGGTCTGACACCCAAAGAACACGGTCAACTCCCTAATATACCTGAAAGAATCCTTAATTGCCTGGGCCTAATTACGTTCCAGCTAATTCGCCCCGCCGCGTTCCACCACGACAGGGTGAAACATTCTGACGACTTTTTGGAGTTTGACAGCGCGTTATATCATTATGGTTAAATTAGCAATCTTCTTATTATTATTCGTGTTTCTTCTTATACTTATTGTTTTTTAGGGCTTCGGAGTGTCTTCATCCAATCGCGACTGGAGCCCTCCCTGATGCTTGGCGCGCAGGCGCCGCCCAAAGTGCGTCGCCACCCGACTTGCCTGGCGCAAAAAATAAAGAATCACGGACTATCATGTAACAAGGGCCCTCCTCAGAAGCCTCAATGGCGTTAGCACTCGAGACCCTGGGAATTTCAGGCTTCGAAATCTTGGATGATTCAAAGACGCGGCTTTAGTCAACAAAACCGTACCCTAAACCCTAAACCGGCTTAAAATCTCTTTCGCTATACGATGCACTCGCATTTCTGGAGGGTTTGGGGCTACCCAGATCCAGAAGGTTGTAATATTATTCATACATGTTTGTGATAAATATGTTAACTGTTTGATGGTCTAAACATTAGCACTACTGATAATAAGGGCTTCCAGGGGCTAATCCCGCAAGCCTCCGGAGCCCTCAGAAACCGTGCTGCGCCTGGTGCAAGGAGCTTTTGCAGCTCGGTGGCCAACCTTCACAACACCGTCTTGTTCATGCTTTCTTAGGATCTGGGGCGATCCGGGGGGGGGGGGGGGGGGGGTAAGGCATCGGAAAGAGGATATGGGGAGATGGAGAGCACTGACACTGAAAGCTGAATCCTAGAAAGGTGCTGTTTCGCGAAAGTCGCGAGTCCGCTTCAAGATAGAGTCCATCCCCGTTGCGCGAAACCTCGAGCTCAAAGCCTTGGTAAAGATGAGCCTTAACATGAGAGATTCAGAAAACAAGGGATCCCCAACATAAAGCCTCAAACAACAGGACAACAGGATCCTCACTACAAGAACCGCTCGAGACAGAGTTCCTGGCTCTTCCGCATCCTTCAGACCATTGGAGCCCCAGGACCGAGGATCATCAACGTTTGGGGTCTCGATGTTTCTCGGAGGGTTCATAACCTTATTCCACCAACGGTAGTACCTTAAAACCCGCCTGCTTTGCACTTCCTCATGCTGGCGATGAATGTCTCGCTGCTGGGCGTAGAACTCCTCTTCCAGCTTCCCTCAGAGAAACGGTCCGCTGCAGGGGTTCACAGCGAGGGACTTTGGGGTTGAGGGCTTTGGGCTTTGGGGGTTTAGGGGCTTGGGCTTTTGCTTCAGGTCCTAGGTTGGCTTCATTCAGCGAGTCCCTCGGTCACAAAAAGCAGAATAATATCTCCAAGCTTGAAAGTAGTCCGTCCCTTCACTCTACTCACAGGTCCTGATACGCTACCCTTGGCAAAACCCTTCTTTTCTGGTAAATCTGCCAGCCAGCCTCTTAGTCTTGCTTGTCACCTATCGTTGTTCTTCTCCTCGCTGCTTCACATCGGATTCCCATGCAAACGAGCACCCAAACGAACCTGACACCTGGCCCCAAACCTGCAGACCTGGCTTGCCAAAAGGAACCCTTGGAAGAAAGCGTCAAACCTCAAGGCATCTGCTATTGGTGCTATGAATTACGGCAAGCTGACCACAACACTCAATGCGATAGCCCACGCCAGCTACCGGAACGATATGAGATGTTGGGCAATTTGAGTCGGGAGCCAGCTTACTTCGGAAATGACGAAGCAGAGCCCCAAGCCCCAAAGCCAAAAGCTGAGACCAGAAGGGCAGAGCCTGCCCTGCCCTGAACCCCGAAAGCAGCGCCCGCGAGGCCCAAACCGTAAACCCCAACTAAACCCCTGGCACCTTAAGGTCCAAACCCTAAAGTCTCAGCTCCGAGCCCTACATCCTGCACGTCCTACACCCCTATGGAAACCCGGGTCTGAAGTCTGAAGCCGCCAGGCGACGCTGCTGGAACTCGAGAACGAGGCTCGTGGCCTGCCACGGCACGGCCGAACCGCTGTCCAGGGAGGGGCACTTGAAAGGGAAGCTCTCTGGGCCCTAAACCCTAGACCCTAAACGGCCCTAAACCCTGAACCCTCCGAGTTCTCGCGGCTCTGCTTGTGAACAGCTCTTCTCGAGGGAGGCCTGCTGCTCCAGCTGGGCACGTTTCCGCTGTGCATCCTGCCAAAGTTGCGGAGTAGACGGGCTCAGTTGGGGTTTAGGGTGTGGGCTTTAGTGTTTAGGGGTCAGCAGGCCTTAGCTGAAAACCCGATAAAGATCCTACAAGGATACTCCAAGTTACTGGCTCCCTGCTGGACTAGACGCCCCTGCCGTAAGCAATATAGCAAGAAAGAAGCCAGTAGCCATTACAGAAAACCCTTGTGGCAACCACTTTACTAACTAACTAGAGACGGCCCGCTGAGCTCAGGTCTCATACTCTAGGAGCCTCAACGATTGGAATTTGGTAGTTCGAGTAGGCCTGGGGGGTTAGAGTTAAGTATAGTATAGTTTCAGTCATACAGAAGCAACGGACTCGACTCAGCATTCGGACCTCCATTCTGCGCCTTGGTACGGCCCCAGGCCCAATACCCCAAGCGGATTTGCAAGCTTACTCAGGAGGTTTGGGGTTTTAGCGCTTACGGTTGAAAGTTTACGCTGAGGGTTTCGAGGCTTCGGAGATTGCGATTTCGGGTTTGCGGGGGCGGGAACGTGTAGCTAGCAGGGGTGAGTAGCTGTCCTGCTGGAGTCGCATCAGCTGCTCGTTGTGGTCCTGAACCATGGCTCTTGCGCCAAAAGTCGTTTGGTTTGGGAACAACATGAACTGTGATCCTAGCAAAAGGAACTGGCAGAGGGCAAGTCCGATCCTTGCTGAGGGCGTACTCATCAGCCTTCACCTCCCGGCTTTCGGTGTCCGGGACGGGGAGGCTTGGGGTCCTAGGGTTGAGGGCTTCAGGGTTTCCGGCTTCAAGGCATGGCTTCTTGTGCAGCGTAGACATGACAGGGGGGCACCTTCTGCTAGATATAGCTGCTAGATATAGAGGCCTTAGGACGAAGAGCCAGCTGCAAGAAGATCACCCTGTAACCGGAGGCCCTCAAGCCTGAACCCGGAACCTCAACAAGGACCGCGACGAAGTGCAGGGCCCTTGAGGCTTTTCATGCAGAGTTGATGGGCTCTCGCGCGGACCCAACAGCATCCAAAACCGCAATGCATGAAAACCTGGACGGCCGGGACGAATACCCGTGGACCCCTGCCCCTCTGTGCCTGCGCATCCAGTGCGAGTAGAAATCTAGTCTTCTGCCTGGAAAAGAGCTCTTCGTGGGCTCCATGTGGGTCGGGTTGGTGTAACACACAGACAAATAAATAGAGAGGGGCTGAACCTGCTTGTGGATCCATCGCAAGGAAAAAGAGCAGAGAAACTGCCACAAACTCCATGTGGTCTTGAAGCGTTCGGTTTGTTGTTCAGGTTTAGGGTTTTGAAAACTACCTTATTCGCTGTTGAGCCCCCCGCCTAAGATGGATCTTGCGGAAGAATCATTGCAAACCATTGTCTGCACCTCAATGAACCTGAAATAAGGCTTTGGTGCATATTTCCGTATAACTAGGCATGGACCATAAGGGGATATGTTTGTACCTGTTTCGAGGGTTGTACTGCTGTCCATGTTGAGGAAGGCCTTTCGGGATCCCACTTTAGGGAAACTTTCCTCTCTTACCTCAACAGACCCAGAACCCAAGCATTCATGCGCAGTTCTACATAATGTCTCGACAAGATATCTTACGCGGGACTTGGGCTCGGAGGTTCGTAGACCTTCAGTAACCAAACCCAATTCAAAAATGATAGCAATGATACTGAGAACAACAACAACGACAACAACAAGCAATAACGGCGATGTCAATCATAATGACACATGTTTTGCAAAAAGCAACAAAAACCAATTTAATTCATCGATCTATAGACGAACAGCTGCAAATCGTCGTCATCATCGACAACGTTCCTCAAAACCAAAATGTACACTAGCAACCAACGAGAACCATAATTATCAAATACACATGTAGAGAGAGAGAGAGAGATAGAACTAGTCACAGCCGTAGTCACAATACTACCGAATACGCAATAATGGCAACAAATTGCCACCCGTGTTGTCGTAAGCAATTCAGGCCCGTTCGCATGCGACAGTGATCGTGACTTTCTGGCCCTAACGGCATGCATCTGGCATGATCCTTCACGGTTTGGGGATCTCCGCTGGCATAATTAATGCCGTAACAAAAAGCATAGAGCTATGCATAATTCCGACTAGGAGGCTGCTTTTGCAACTCCTCGAGCTGCGCTTGCTGGCTCTGGCGCTGCCGCTCTAGGGCCGCCTGACCTGGGCGCCCGCAGCGAATTCCCCATCACTGTGATGCTGGTAGTCGTGTCGTCGTCTCTGTCGCAGAAGCATTGGTAGCAGTAGCAGTTGGAGATGCAGTAGCAGTAGTAGCAGTTGTCGTTGTCGTGGTCTTGGTCGTGGTCATGGCAGTGGAGGTGGTGGTGGAAGTGGTAGTAGCTGTCGTAGCAGTAGTGGTAGCAATAGTGATCGTCGTAGTCGTGGTCGTAGTCGCACTACAGTCGTAGTCGAAGTCGTGGTAGTAGTGTAGTAGTCGTCGTCGCTGTATATAGTCGTAGTCGTAGTAGTAGCAGTGGTAGCAGTGGCAGCAGTGGCAGTAGTGGTAGTCGTGGTAGTAGTAGTAGTAGTCGTCGTCGTCGTCGTCGTCGTAGTAGTAGTCGTAGTAGTAGTAGTAGCAGCAGCAACAGCAGCAGTAGCAGCAGTAGCAGTAGTTGTTGTTGTCGTCCTTTGTCAGCAGCAGCAATAGTAGTCGTCGTCGTTGTACCAGTCAAAATGAACTGTCTAAAAGTAGGCATCACAAATGACCACAGGGAGGGAAGCATCAGCAAGTGAGCCGTGAACCACCTTGAACTTGGCCTTGAGCCATCCAACATGCTTAATGGAAACTTTTTCGGATTGAGATGCTTGCAGTGCAGTCTTCACTATCTCAGCCTTTAAGGGCTTCTTCCAAAGTTTCTCTACAATCTGCACCCTGCTCTGGCTTGGCCGGCCTGGCCTTCGCTCAACGCCCGCGTCAGCTGCGCCGCAATCTCCGATTGCCGGCTTCGGATCGATTCGGGCGGCGGCAACCGCCTGGTTGCATTGGCTTTACACCGGGCCGTACTTGCTACATAGGTACGACTGTTGCGATTGTCATGGAAACGAAAGCCTAAACCCCTAAACCTATCCCGAAATCCCGGCCCCAGATAGCCGAAGCGTTGCCGCGCAATGGCCGCGGGGTCAGCTGCACCTGCGGAGCCGGAAATATGAGGGGCCTGGAAAAAAAAAACTAGGCTTTGGGGTACATTCTAGTATCCCTAAACCATGAACCCTAAACCCTAAACCTATTGCTACTACGTCTTCCGGAGCACTGGGGTTTAGGGCTCCTTCACCTTGGTTATAGTGAGTTTTCGTCTAGAAACTGCCAAAGCAACAGCGATTTGAGTTTGGGTCCGGGTCGGTTGGACTTGGCAGCCTTCGGCCTTCCTTCGCCCCAAACCCTTCAGCCAGATGATTCTGCAAAAGAAGCTTAAGATGTAAAGTGGAGGGGTTTAGGGCCATGGGGCTAAGGCGCTAAACTTTCAGGTTCATGCGTGGCGGCCATGCCCCACTAGGGGTCTTTCAGGGATACAGAGCAGGTACCCCTGTAATCTACGTTGGGCTCTTATGGTTGGCATTCTATTCCCCTTTATGAACAGCACCCGGGGCAACCCGACAAGACCGCACGGAAACACAAAAGCTGTGTCAAGTCTGAGCAAGTCTGGGCTGCTCGGAAACACAAGGGGCGTTCTTCAATTTAGTGGTATCTACGATCGTGGATTTCCCAATGTACCCAACTATTCGGGCTTGTACCAGGGTTCATATTTTCTGAAGCTCCCGAATAGAGCAGCCTCTAAAGCGACGAGCCTCCTGGCAGGTGCATTCCCGGTGTCATGGCCACGGGCATGTATCCTGAGTGAAAGCTTGCTTTGAATGAAAGCTCGCCATGTCGCGAGAGTGTCCCGGGTCCAACGACATCCGGTACAACTGGGATGAACAGGGATGAGCTCTCCAGTCAGAATCAAACAGGACCAGCCCACCACGCAGAGCAACACGACGGCAAAACGGATGGCGCGGAGTGGATGTTTCACATGTGGTACAAGGCGGATGTCGGGCGACACACACGGACGGAGTGGCTTTAGCTCTCGATCGCGATGCTTGGCGTGGTTGCAATCTTCGTGGCGAGGCGCCTGAAGACAACATTAGGGACAGACTCAAAAGAGGATCACTTCTTATCGGACAGGATGGCGGACAAACCCCTGCAAAAAGTTTCATTGTCCAGCCTATCATGCCCTAGCACGGAAGGCGGTTCATGCTGCTCCCCACAAGCCTTTAGCCTCGGCTATAGCATCTTTGAACTCCACGTGCCAAGACTTTTTGGCTCTTGGACGACGCTTGTGCCCGGTTCAAGGCATCCCCAAGGATTGCGCGATGGAACCCGGATGAACAGCGTTTGCAAGTATCGACCCTTGAAAACTCGGAGGACCAAAGGCACTGGAAGGGCTCCCATCCGCGGGACCGGCTGCCAAAGCCATTGCTTGCACTCCAGCAATGAATTTCTAGCGTTTTGGGTTTCTGCATCTGTGTGCTTTCGCAGGTTCACTCTCAAAGTCAGGAACCGTTCGAGCCCCTCCCAAAGCCCTGCAGCTCAAATGCCAAACCCACAAAGAACCCGAAACCCCAGATCCCAACCGCCGAGGCCCTTAACCAATGGATCCTAGCAACAGTATGGAATCCTTGACTTGCGCTTGGGAAAAGCCGTATCGAACCCTTACAGTCCAGACAGCGCCAGGGACTCCTTTGGCCTCTGGCTTTGAGCCCGCGGCAGCGCAGCGAAAGCCCCAAGAAAGATCAGATGTGGACATGTTTGAAACAGCCTCCCCTCCGGAAGGTTCGAGTCGATGGTAAGAAGGTTATGCGGGGTTTATATTGGGGGTCTAATTGGGGTCTAAGAACTTCCGGTTTTTAAGGTCTTGGGCCGAACAAGCGGGCAGCTGCTTCTCGGAGTAGCACCGCGTGAACTTTGCACACGGGAGGGTAGAGCTACAGCCCATGGCATGGCACAAGAAGCACAGAAGTGCCACATGCACACCGCCACGGAAGGACATTACAAGGACATGCCAAGCTTCGGTAATCTGCGAGGACGAGATGTTCACGAACCATGTTCATAGCACTCACTCCCGAGAGTTCACGCTCACCCCGGACAATAATGCCCCCCCGAGTCCTCATTCTGATATGAACATGGATGCCCTATGCTTGAGCTCGGTATCCAGGGTAAGTTCTGAATAGGCATACAGCAAGCCTGGTGACCGCAACATTCACGTGTACGACTTCCAAAGACTGGTGACTGTCGGTGCCCATACGCCGGAATCCACGTAACTCCGCCAGTGCAGTCGATGCTGCAGGGAAGCCCAAAGCATGAACCAACATGTACCATCCTGCTACGCCCAAAGCCACACCCCAACCCTGAAAGAGCAGTATAACCGTCTTACCTGCAGAGGATATGCAGAGCCCACGCTCGAGAAGGCCCAAAAGCCGTCTAAAGCTGGGACCTGTACACTGTTATTGTTGTCATCGCCATTACAGCTGATTACAGCTTATTACAGCGTATTACAGCTTATTCAGATCATTTCTAATGCTGCTAATTTGGGTTGTTGTGATTAACATGACCTATAAGAATACCACTGCTGTTGAATACCACTGCTGTTGCATTTATTGCTCCGCTGAGCATTTTCCTACATTTATCACCCAACCCCCATTGGTATTGCCATTGATTAGCAGTGTTGAGAGTAGTCGTCGTCGTAGTATTTTAGTATTGTTACGATCAAGAGGACTTCGTTAAGCGTCTTGCAAAAAAGTAACTAGCATAATTGCAATCGTGAGAGAACCGAGAAAACTGGCATGCCGCAGAGGGGTAAATTAGAATGACAGGGTCTTCCCAAAGACTCCAACATCCCCTTGACTCAGGAAGATAGTTTAAGCCTTACACTATGTGGGGATTCGCAATATGACTCGAGATATGACCCTACACCCTAAAGCCTAAACCCTAAACCCAAGGGCTTCTGGAGTCTTGGAATCTTGGCTGGACGGTCTGAGTGCTTTAAAACTCGCACGCCCCGGCCGCTCCAATTTCCAACGAGCGCCCGGCCGGCTGTGCTTGAGACGGGCGTCTGAAGAAGACCAATGTAGGGGCCTTAATAATTAGAATAGGGTTTGGGGGTATATCATACTATAGTTATAACAAGGAACCCCCAACATAGTATAGGTAACTATTAAGGCCCCTATATCACCTTCCAAAGCTGTCGCAACAGCCTGAACATGCAGTCCGCCGGATGTGAACGACAGCCAGAACACAGGTGCAAAGGTAAGAACCAATCCTTGCACATGTGGTTCGCGAAGTCAACAGGAGGCCTTGAGAAATCCCCGGCCCGATTGCGTGACGTCATCTTTAGGGAACCGGAGAATAGCGTCAGTTTCCATAACAGGTAAGGAGCTACATCCTGTAACAAGGACAGACAGCAATCCAAAAGCAACGTGAAACCTCCCCACCTGTGCACTTGTAGAGACATGACCTTGCTACGCTTACGTCTAGGTGTTGTTCCCCGAAAGCTGGCGGAGGGACTTTCCGTGGAGGTGGTTTGGATGCCATGATGCGATGATGCTGATGTGAGATCATCTCTGAGGCTGTTGTGAAGCATTCTAGAAGCTGCCCCTTAGCTATTCGTGAGGTTGCCTCTTATCTCTTCGTCAAGCCTAATGTCGTTTCACGCACGGGACAGGGCTAGAACAAGTCGCCGCGCATCGAAAGATGGCGCTGAGCATGTGGTGCCTTGACGATTGGTGTTCCGATTTGGGGTCGGCACTCCGATGCTGTCGTTGGCGTGTTCGATCGATGCGATTCTTGCACGGAATTGACAACCGTCTCGACGTTGTGCGCTCGCGTCCTGCGGAAAGCGGGATCCATTGCAAAGTGGCCTCGGGTTGGAATCGAATGATGATTTTGAAACCCTGAAACAACTGAATTCCGACAGCAGACAGGGAAGCATTGTGGTCATCTCTCCCATCTCTCCTGGGGGAAGGATTTGGGTCCCCCGAAATCACACTGCACGTGTGGTGCCTTGACGATTCGGGCTCGGTCATGCCCCTGAGTCCCACCAGTACATGGGAGAAGCATTTTGGCCGTGATCCTGAATCCCGCCAGTACATGTGGGGAAGGATTTTGGTCGCGCCGAATCGCGCTGAGCCGCTGAGCGTGTGTTGCTGTGACGATTCGCGGTCAGAAGTGACAGCTGGTGGCCGCGACGTGTCCGCATTCTCTGGGAAGCGTGACGCATTATGAATTCCAATACCTTGGCCTCATGTTGGTTGCGAGCTGCCAACCCTCGCGGTGCTGCCGGCGTGTCCAGGCGTGCGGAAGCAGTTGGATGGATGGATGGATGGATGG